CTATATATATATAGAAACCCTAATAAGGAACCCTAAAAAGGTAGGTCTTTTCGGCTACAGGTATAGGTTGGCCACGGCCCCCATACAGTAACAGTCTATAATAGGGCTACTATTAAGGGCCTTATATATCTATATTATGAATATTATCCAACTGTTACTGAGTGGGGGCCATACCCAAGATAAGTTTAGGGAGTCTTGTATTATAGGATTATTAAAGCCCCTATATTACAGTACCCATTATAGATCCCTTATAGTACCCATTATAGATCCCTTATAGTAACCCCTACAGGTAGGGCTACTTAAAAGCCACAGACAAGGAGTCTGACCGAGGCTTGCGGAACCCAGCGCGCTGCCGTTGGAACACTCGGCCAAACCTTGAACCCGAAAGTCTAATGAACTCTAAACTGGCTACTACAGGGGCCTTAATGGTTAGAACAGCGTTTTGGGTCCCATCATGTTATAACTATAATATGGGGGTAATCATTTAGGCCACTATAGTATCCCAGACCGGCCAAACCCGTAACCCGAAACCACGACAGCACGACGCTTCGCAATACCCCTCCGGCCCAAACCCCTAAAGACCTATGTAAAAGATGGAGAAAGGGAGTAAGTGCCGGGGTTAGCTGATGGAAGTGTGTATAGTTTAATGGAATTGCGTATAAACCTTCTTAGGGGTTTTAGGGCTTTCGGCTCGAATGGGTTAGGGCTTAGAGTTAAGGCTTTGCGGGTATTCCAGGCCGTAGCTTGACAATTAGTTTATCCATTACTCTCAGATAGTGCCATGCAGATGTCATCATGATTGCAGATATTGCAGGAATAAGCGCATCAACGCCAAACATGTAATATAGGGAATATAGGGGACTGATTAGTTAGAGTAGGGTTTTTGTCTTGGGGTATGTTGTACCAGAATTACAATAAGAAGCCCCAAAATCGTACTGGTCATCATCGAGGCCCCTATACTACCCTTACCGCGAGACGGCTCCGGGCCCCAAGCGCCGCAAAGCCCCTAAACTTACCTTTGGCTAGGAGGGAATGGAAGAATGGTAGTAATAGTAGTACAATTGTACCCCATTCCTCCATTCCCTACTAACCAAAGGTCAGTAAACAGCCTGCCCCAGGCCCAACCCCTCGGGGGCCGGTGCCCAAAGCTTTCGGACGAGACCCCAAAAACCCTGCATCGGAACCCCCAAGCCTCAAGGTTTAGAATGAGGAACCCCAAAATAGTATGGGTAATTATTCAAGCCCCTATATTAACCCCTAAACCGACGAAACTGTGACATCTAAACTCTGAACTACCAGCCTTAATACATGAACCCTAAAATCCCAACCACAAAACCGAGTCCCCAAGCCCAAAAGCATGGAGTCCTATAGGGGCCTAAAAATTACTGCCAATACTGTTTTGGGACTTCCTTCTTGCATTTATCCTATAATGGGCCCCAAACCCTGTTGTAAGTATTGAGGATGGACAAAATCCTGCATTACCCATTATAAGGCATAGACCATAGTTCCCATAGTTTAGAGTCCTTAGGGTCATGCAGGATTTTGTCCATCAGCAGTATTGAGGACCCTCTCCTACAAGAAAGCCTCGCACAGCGCCGGGAACGGTGAGGCCCACAACGGCTTCGGGCGAGACCTGGCGGGTTCCGCTTGGAGCTTCTGAGGTCCATCAGGCCGCTTCGGGTTTAGGGCCTTATAGGGCTTTAGGTTCAGGGTTTAGGGCTTAGGGTTTTAGGTTTTTTTTTTTTTAAGGGTGCATTGGGACTTTCACTCTGCCCTTTTAGGGTTTTGGGGTTTAAGGTTGTCGGATGATAAAGTTGGAACAAAACGGGCTGGAGAAGCCTGAAGAAGCTTTTGAACTTGGCTTCGAGGGAGCTACACTATACATGCATGATGACAGCCTTCATGGGGAGTTTGAATTATACCACACTTAGAACCATAACAAAAGCTATATGTTGAGTATTCATTCGCTTGGGTTTTGTATGAACCCAAAATCCAGAAGTAATTCCTAAGGAGACTCTAGGAATAATGGTAGGGTACTACGGCAAGGACGTACGTGGTGTGACGCCTTCGGCTTCAGGGTTTCCAGGGGGGAACTCCAGAAAGTTGGAATATGGTTTCATGGTAGGATACCCCTATAATTTACCATAGAAGCGTTAGGATAATCATATTCCAACTTTCTGGCAGGATACCCTATAATTTACCATAGAAGCGTTAGGATAATCATATTCCAACTTTCTGGCTTTTACCTTAGGGGTTTCGGGTCTATTCGCTTCGGAGCTTTGGCCTTAGGGTGGAAGGGTTTAGGCTTCACGACTTGGGATCTGGGGGTGTTCGGGTTTAAGGGTTCGGGTGTGGTAGGCTTTAGGGGTCAGGGTCTCAGGGATTTAAAGTCTTTGGGGTGTCGGGGGCATTTGTTTAAGGTTCTGCAGTGCAGTATTGTGTGCACGGGGTCCAGGGCGTAGAACGTAGCCACCGGAAATAGGTGCGTTGAGTGCGGACAACACAGGCGTATCTTTCGATGCGGAGATGCAAAATCAGACTCCGATGCGCTTTCACGGATTTCACAGTGCAGGATTGTGTGAACCATGGCCGTGTCTCGTATTGATCTGCGAATTCCTCGAGGCACTTATCTGATGTGACATCCCGAGTCATCTCGACGAACGAAGGATTTGCCAGAAGAACAACCAGGTACGAACCATCAAAACCAACCAATGTAGTACGGCCAATCCTGGGAACAGGGGTAGCAAGCAACAGGAAGAACAGCAAAAAGAAGAAGAAGGGCAGCGGCAGGGATGGTGGTCATCATGATAACCATGATCGCACTTGTGACACCACCAACCACCATCATCGTAAGGACCATCGTCATCGTCGATATCCGTGTTATCATCAGCATGCAGCATCACACAGCAAAGCCAGGATCAGTTGCAATCTTAGTCACAAATGGCATGATTCCCCTCGCTATATTGAACAACCATAGCAACACTAAGACAAGGGCAATAGCAGCAGCAAGAACAAAACGAAATACCAACTCTACCTAACAGAGGAACGAGGTCATCATTGCAATCAAGCAGCGCAGCCCTCAAGCCCAAAGGCAGCCCAAACCTCCGGAAACCCAGAACCGAAACGCCTACACCCCTCCCTCCCAAACCACTAAAGCGTGCACGCCCTCACGAGACACTCAGGGAACCTTACCGAACACCTCAAAACCCTAAACCCTAAGCTCCAAATCCTAAACCGTAAAACCCTGAACTCAAAAATTTACCAAGCACTTCCAAAAGCTCTGCGGTGCCTCGGCCGCACGTTGGTCCAAAGAGAGGGGCAGCTCCTCAGTGGCAGCCGGGGGCTCGGGGTCTTCCTCAAGGGATTTAGGGGTTAGGGGGTTTAGGGGGTTTAGGGGGTTTAGGGGGTTTAGGGGGTTTAGGGGGTTTAGGGGGTTTAGGGGGTTTAGGGGGTTTAGGGGGTTTAGGGGGTTTAGGGGGTTCAGGGTGTAGGGTTTAGGCTCTTGTTGTTGCTGTCGTTGCTATTGTTGCAACTGCGTATTTCGCCAGGCCTACAGTGCATTCGCATGCAAGGTCCCCTTGGATGTGGATTGTTGCTAAACGAAGTTATCAAAAACCCTAAACCCTAAACCCTAAAACCTAAACCCTAAACCCTAAAACCTAAACCCTAAGCCCTAAAACCTAAAAACATCATTAAACTGCCCCTTGAGGCTTCTTCATCTGCATCAGCTCGACAACATTCATAGCATCGACAGCAGAGGAAGAGGCCATGGCAAGCGCTGACTTCTTCGACATCCCGACTACAACTGGTGCACTGCTGTATCGATCCCAGTGCCCCTAACACACGTCCTGTGACATGAACTCCTTGAAAGAGGTACCCTGACAGTGTGTGTTTGGTGTGTATTCTAGTACCACTCCCCTAAGAAATTCAGAAGCCGTAGACGAACAGTATTTGCCATTGACCATGAGCTGGCTATTTGGGAGCTTTGGCTTCAAGTGATCCCCAGGTGAACACCTAAAGGTTTAAGGTTTAGGGCGCAATCGCTTTCGACGGAGCCCCTGACCTAAGTTTCTGAAATCCCCCGATGTCTGGTACGAGAAGGCCCGGGCGGACGACATCGTCGCAGCCCTGCAGTCGAAGAATCGACTTGAAGGCGTAGGGCTGAGGGTTGAGGATTGCAGGTTTAGGCTTGTGGTTTAGGGTTTAGGGTTTAGGGTTTAGGGTTCATTGTAGGTTAGAGTTCTAGGGTTTTGGGGCTCAGAGATCCCAATGCCCGAGTTTCAGGTTCAAGGCTTCAGAGGTTGGGTTTCAGGTTTCAGGGACGGTTTTGGTCTACTTGGGTAAGCTAAACAGCAACAACATGAAAGAACTGTGGCTCACGACGGAGGAAAAATATTGCCTGCAGTCGTGGACGGACCATGATCTTCAGGACATCGGGATGCATTTGGCGGACGTTTTGACGTAGCAAGTTTACCCAGTATCCTCTGCCGACCCTCAAACTAAACCTACGTATTGAGCTGATTAGTCCAAACAAGAGCATCTACTTGTTCGGTATTTATCGGGCTCTCAGGCTTTGAGGTTTGGAGAACTGGGACCCAGTCATGAGGCACAGCACGCATGACCTGCTGGAGTGTATGATGACGTTAACGCTAGTTTCGGGCTGGATTTGATCCAACAACCCTAAACCCTAAACCCCAAAACCCAAATCCACCGCTCTTTGATGCTCCCGCATGCAATGCAAGGATTTGTTCTTTCGTCCTTGTGGACGTCCAGCAGGTCGGGCTGCACAGTATCCTGAAGATAACAGATAGCAGACTATAACTATGGTATATAGACGACAGTAGGATATGGCAACTGTGGCAAATCGTAGCTCTTTCCTGCACAAACTCGGTATCAAGCTGGCTGCCCGGAAGATGCGCTGTGCCACTGCCAAACGTTCCCGTTCTGCCTCTTGCAGCTACCGTGAAAAGACACGCGAAAGAGCCTGAAGCCTGGTAAGGTCAAGCGTAGTGCAAGCGGCGTTGAAGCCTCGTGATATTGGCAGAGATCTCCTCCAGCGAAGGGAGTACCAACATTGCTGTCTTCTCGCACTCTTCGTCGTTGGTGTGATCGGCACGATATTGGTTACCGGTCGAGTTGCGATCAGTCTCTCTGTTCAAATCCGCCTCCCGGGCTTTTGCCAGTATGAGATCATGCTCTTCAGGTGTGATCAGACCATTGAAAAGAAAAGCCATCACCTCCCGCACGATGTAGTCGAAGTCCCCCGAGGACCGGGTGATGTTCTCATAGCGCACCACAAAGGTATCGTTCTGCCTGGCCTCAAAGGCCTCTGTCATGTGCCCGAAAATACGCAGCATGTCTTCGGAGAGCAGGCGCATCCCCTGAGCCGGACCCATGGATGTGATCTCCGGGTACGGCCACAAGTCATACTCCTCCCCGCGGTGGTGGTAGCAGTAGGCAGAAGCCAGCATGGCGGCGGGGTCCCGGATGGTCATCACCCCCCGCATCCCCCGTGGGCCAGAGAGCTCTCGAACTCTCTCAAGGCTTTCCTGGGTCACGTCTATGTCAAAGCGGATGGTGGCATCTGGACTATCAGCACAAGTGTGGTTGCCATCCTCTGTAACCAATTCCCCCCAAATATTTGGCATAACTTGGCAGGAGTAAGTGGCCCCCAGAGTTTGGAAGGCACCGCCCATCACCTGCATGAGCAGTGATGTCCCTGCTTTGTGGGTGGTGCCGACAAGGTACATGTGCACATCCCACGGCTTCTGCACATCTTGTATGGACAGGGTCTGATCAAGTCTTGCTTGCAAGAGGTTTACAGCCGGCACTTGGCAGTCATCAGAGAGCTCTTCCCGGTTAAGACACACAGCGCTGGGCAGGAGGATCAGCCATGCAAAGCAAGTTCCCAAGCGGGCCGGCATCACCTTGAAAACGGCTGGTGACTGTTGGCCTGCTCGGTATCTAAGTCCCTGCGGGCACAGCTCTATTGAAGTCTCGGAGCACCATAGCCTACTGCAGCTTTCAGTATGCTGTGTGCTCTACCATTCCGTGTGAAAGTAGTAGTATGCTAGCATGCCACAGTAGAGTTGATCGCAACGCAACAAAAAAATCTTCACCTCCGGAACCCCAGCGTGCATCGCGGCGCAGAAGTGCCATGCCCTTCAAAAGCAATGCGATGCCAGTCACACCAATAAGCAGTCCCAACCCTGAACCCTAGCGCAAAACTTTGTCTAGCACATGCCTAGACCGTCCCCGGCCAAGCCCGAACAGCCATGTCAGGCAAGTTTGGATGCCTTATTCACCTAGCATATAGGGCTAGTAAGCTGAATTATGGAGATTGTTGAAAGGGTTGCCAAGCAGACGTACAGGGAACTCCAGAAAGTTGGAATATGGTTTCATGGTAGGATACACTATAATTTACCATAGAAGGGTTAGGATCATCATATCCCAACTTTCTGGCTTTTACCTTAAGAGCTTCCACGTGAGACTCCTGTCTCAGTGCCTTCGGAGCCTCTCTGATGCAGGAAGGGATATGGAGTGACTGTAGGGAAATACTCCTACTATCTGTTTACTATAGGGCCTTAAGAATTAGCTGTACTATTTTGGGAGTTTCATCATTATAGTTCTAGTAGAATATACCCCCAAACCCTACCCCAATTATTCAGGCCCCTGTATCAGGCTTCCCTTTTCGGAACCCGTGCTTCAGCCTGGAGGACGGCAGGTGCCACGAAGGCAGCGCTGCATCCAGCGGCCTCCACGCCAAAGCACATAGCTTTTGAAGATCGTCAAGGCTTTGGGTCTTTGCAGAGTTTGGGCTTTAGAGTCTAGAGCTTAGGGATTAGGGCTTTGGGGCTTTGCAGGTTGTTTTTTTAACGGCTTTGGGGCTTGGAGGGTTTGGGGTTGTAGGGCTCAGGGAGTCAAGGCTTAGGGATTAGGGTTTGAGGAGTCCAGGCTTACTGCCCTTCAACTCGCAGTATTAGTCCTTAGATCTTCCGTTCACATCGAGAGCACGGTTTAGGGTTTAGGGTTTAGGGCTTGGGGTTTAGGGTTTAGGGTTCAGGGCTTAGGGTCTAGGGCTTAGGGTTTAGGGGTTAGGGTTCAGGGATTGTTTGGAGGCTTGCATTTTGCATCAAGGCCACGCGGAGAATACCCGCATAGCGCCAGCAGAGACTGCACATTTAGAGGGCTACGGATGCAGGTCCCGGGTTTGAGGTTCAGAGTGTAGAGTTCTCGACATGCAAAAATTGCCTGAAAGCCTGCCGCATCTCTCCCACACAAACCCTGAGACATGAAGGCAAATTGACGACGATCTGCCGCCGTTTATACAGCCCTTACACAGCGGAATATTTACTCCACACAGTGTGGATGCAGAACGTTCATTCTTTCATGTCTCGTTTTCATAGACTCACGGGCGGAAGGATGCACCTCGCCGTGTAGCGGACGTCGTAGTAGGGCAGAACCCTGCATGACTGAGGATTGGGTGGATGTAACTACGCCGTAGTGGCCTTAGTAATTAGAAGGGGGTTTGGGGGATATATTATACTATAACTATAATGAGGAACTCTCAAAATAGTACAGGCAATTGTCAGTCCCCGGTGGTCTGCAGGAAATTTGGATGAAGGTCGTCTCACTTTCAAGGGTCTCCGGCTCAGTCCCCCGAGATGCGGGCCGGGTGTATCAACCTTAAACCCAAAACCTCAAGCCCGAAGCCACAAACCAGAACTTGAACTAAGCTCTTTCACATGCACCCAGTTCTTTAGAGTTGAGGCCAGGCAGGAGGATGAATCCCCTATGCTACGAGCTCTAATTCTGGATTGTTTTTGGGTGAGGGCTTCAGGGTGCGTACTCAGGCTTCCGAGCTTCAGGGCTTTACTGTAGGGGTGTCTGGTATGAGGCTCTTGTTTTGCCTTGTCGGACCTTTGTTGCTCAGCCCTCACACGTCCCAGGGTTGAAGGTTTAGGGTTGCTGCGCGTCCCAAGGACTCTCGCTGCTGCATGTATCGACGTGAAGTGGAGCCCTTGAGGCTAGTACCCTCATAAAACCCAGAATAATGGAAACACCTATTCCGAAGTAGCTTCTAGATGCCACCTGCTAGACCAACCATTCCAGCAATAGAGAAATCTGACCAATAGAACACGAAGGTAGATGAATAACCATGTCAACTAAGAGTTGCAACCGGCTAAGACTGTCGCACTTAATGATAGACAAACAAAATACCAGGAGTTAACCCAGAAAGAAGATCGAACTTACGTAGAATACCAAACCTACTGATGAGTAAATGAAAATAACAAGAATTGAAAAAACAGCCAGAATATCAAGCCTAATGACAGACAAGACAATCTCAAGAGCTCGACCCACTTCCAAAATCTAAACCATGCACCCTCATCCCTAAACCCTGCTAGAGTCTGCTAGAGCCATGAGACTCTACACCCTGAGCCCTTGACTCTAGGGTGTTAGGGCTTAGGGTTTAGGGTTTCCAAAACTAAACCCCCGAATCTCGAGCCTTGCATCCGAAGGTGGCGTGCCTTGGTACTGGGGTCTCGCTCGCATGATGCACATACAGTAGAAGCCAGAAAGTTGGAATATCATTATCGTAACCCCTTTAAGGTAAATTATAGGGGATCCTACCATTAATCCATATTCCAACTTTCTGGAGTTCCCTGTACATGGAAAAAAGACATGCTCATGAATACACACACAACATAGAAGTACACATATACATACAGATGTATTTACATATAGATGTACAGCCACAGGTAGATAGATAGACAGACAGATAATGTGGTAACAGGCTCTAAGGATCAGAGTAGGGTTCCTTTCAAGGCTTCCTGAAAAAGGAACCGATAGAAGTTGAATATGGGACTTTCTGAAATTAGGGGGTACCATATTTGGGGGTCCTTCTAATAAGGATCCTACTATTTAGGGTACTATCTTAGGGTCCCCTATTTTCGGAAACCCCCATATAGAGCCTGTATATCAATGGAACTGGCCCGGTGGAACGCTCGGTCTCTCAGGAGTGAAGCCAATGTAGAAAAAGGGCCCTAGTAACTAGACTAGTGTCTCAGGGCCCACTCTACTGCAACTTTAATACGGAACCACCAAAATAATATGTGTATGGGTAGAGGTGGTTAACTAAGGCCTTATATTCGGGCCTCAAAGACGTGTTATCTCATTCCTGCACTCTGCAGTCGTCTCATAGTATGCGGAGACCAGGACATGCCCAGAGAGCCAATCGTATTCCTTAGGGTTTAGGGTTTAGGGGGTTTAGGGTTTAGGGTTTAGGGGGTTTAGGGTTTAGGGTTTATTGGAAAGCCCCAAACGATAAGCCCTAAGCTCAAATCCCTCAATCCTACTCCCAACCCCAAGCCCTAAAAACCCTAATGAAACCCTTCAACCCCAAAACCCTAAACCCTACACCCTATAGATCCTTTATAGAGCCCTTATAGATCCCTTTAAAGGAACCCTACAACCCCCAAACCCCGAAGCCACCAAGTTTAGGGAAGCCCTAATACCCTGCTGAGCCCTCAGCGCCAAAACTTGGAACCCTCTGCATCGACCAGGACCAAGATCATGTTTTCTGGGCGTAGCCTCCACATCAGAGTTTCCGAAAATTAGGGGGCTACCGTAGGGTTCCTTTAAATGGGGTTTACTATAAGGGTACTACAAGGGTTCCTTTAAAGGGCTCTATAAGGGTTTTGAGTTTCCGAAATTAGGGGTACATGGGGCTTCCATTCGGATTCTTTTGGGTCTTAAGGTTGAGGATTTTCGGGTCTTAAGGTTGAGGCTTGTCGGGTCTTCAGGTTGAGGATTTTAAGGTCTTCAGGTTGGGGATTTTAGGCGTCCCCTTCTGCCTCCCGAGGATGTAGTCCACTTTCTCCTTGGTCCAGGGCCGCGCGACGAGGATGGCTTTCATCACTACCGACTGTGTTTTTGCTAAGGGGTTTAAATTAAGTTAGAATAATAAGGAAACCACATTTACTATAGATCCCTATGGTAACTTAGACAAAGTTCCTCAACAAGAGCACAGCTGACTCTGTTTTTTTAAACCACCCCAACCCCTAAACCCTAAACCCCTGAATCCCCTAACTTATGAGTTGCCAGAGTCTCCACGTCGGGCTCCAGAATCAAGCGACCGGAGACCATGAGGTCGGACCTCGTGTGAGTCGGCTAGACGTAGGGGCCCTTAATTAGAGTAGGGTTCCTTTGACAGGGTTCTTAAAAGCGGGTCCTATAAGGGTAACTATAAGGGTATTATGGGGGGGGTGATGTAGGGGCCCAAATAATTAGACTAGGGTTTGGGGTATATTGTACGATACTTATAGTAAGGAACCCCAGCACCCTGTTCTAATTATTAAGACCCCTTTTGTTGGATGTTTGCAGGAAAGGTGTGTACATCCTTGGTTAGATCACCCTGCATAACCCCCATGACAAACCCTCAACAAGCCTCAAACAACCGTATGAGACCCATCCTCAAGGCATACCGACAGAAGAGCGGGGTGTAGGACATGGCAGTTTCCGAAAGCAGGGGGGGACCCTAATATAGTACCCTAAATAGTAGGATCTTTATTATGAGGACCCCAAAACAAGGTACCCCCTAATTTCCGGAAACTCCCAAAAGGAGCTTCGGGCTCAGGCTTCTTGACTTCGCTTTCTCTGTTCAGGATGGAGGGCTCGGAGTTTAAGCTTGAGGATTCACATCTCGGGTTCGGGTTTCCGAATTTAGGGAGAGGCGAAACCCTAGGAACACTGAGCACCCCTGCGGGCCCAAAAGGGTCATTGAGTCGGCCATGTTGGAAACAGCCGTGGAGGAATCCTGCCCGCCACTGCCGGCAAGAATCGGTAGATTTCAGGGTTGCGGGTTCAGGGCGTCTGTGGCTTTTGCTGCCAGGCTTTCCGGCTTTGGCGTTTGGGATGGCTGCTG